CAAAAGCGAGGACGACAGCGATTCATGAAATAGACATGTTGAAAAACTTTTATTATCAATTAAATTTAATTTAATTAAATTGAACCCGATTAGCGTGCCGTATTTTTCTACTATAACCAAGAAAAAGTTTTAACACGAAACATACCTTCCAAAAGCTTACATTCACAGATGTTTGCTATCATTTTGAGGTAAATTTATTAAAGTTTCAGATGCACCATGGGTAAATTGCCCCATTTTGCCCCCTGCTAAGTTACAAGTTCATAAATTATGGTCTGAAAATCTACAAAAACTTCCATAACTTTTTTTCTACAGAAGATACTGCAATGCGGTGTTCTACAATATTGTGTATTTTGTTATTATCTACAATTTACTAGAAGATGGCACAGCCGTAAAAATGTAGGCCAAAAAGTTATGATGAGAAAACCATTTTTGAGGGACCGTCGGCAATAAACGTCACATATCTTGAAAAGTAAAAAGATATTAATTAAGTGTCTTCAGTAAAGTTTTTTGAAAAAAAAATTTCTACAACTTTGTCGAAGACACCAACATTGTATCTTGAATAGTTGAAAAATAAATTTTCGATCTCACTTTTAGGGGGATTAATCTTTTAACTAAAAACATCAAAATAAGCGCAGTAACATATTGAGACACTTCTCTGAAGACACCATATCTCTTAATTTCATGATAAAGGAGCTATTAATTAAGCGCACGAAAATGCCGATTTCAACCACTGTGCACTGCCGTACTCTAACGGAACTATCAACTCTATACTTTCATCTACTCCATCTATCGTATAAAAATTACCACTACAGTCTGTTATTTGAAATTAGCATCTTCAACTATGTAAATCGTTGACTTCACGCAGAAGTAATACTAAAACATCTAGTCAAAGTCACTCTTATATATCTTTAAACTGCACCAAAAGCCTGGACTAAAGTTACAGGAACTGCCCTTAAGATCTCTAAAATTTCTCAAAAATCTCTAGATCTAGCTTTTCTTCTTAAAAGTTTCCATAACTTTCCTCAAGTGCTCCTTATTTCCGAAGTACTCTTGACCCCGGTGAAGTTTTCTGAAATTCTAGGGACTTCTTAAAATTTCCTGCAGTTTCTCGGAAGCTAACAGAAGTGGTTCTTAAAACTTTCAGTAAGTTCCCCGTATTTTCAGGATGTTAACTTAAACTGCACCAAAAGCCTGGACTAAAGTTACAGGAACTGCCCTTAAGATCTCTAAAATTTCTCAAAAATCTCTAGATCTAGCTTTTCTTCTTAAAAGTTTCCATAACTTTCCTCAAGTGCTCCTTATTTCCGAAGTACTCTTGACCCCGGTGAAGTTTTCTGAAATTCTAGGGACTTCTTAAAATTTCCTGCAGTTTCTCGGAAGCTAACAGAAGTGGTTCTTAAAACTTTCAGTAAGTTCCCCGTATTTTAGGATGTTAACTTCCCATATCATCCCACAGTTTGTTTATGAAGCTTCGTTGAAGTTCTCAGCATGTCCTTTCATTTCTTAGAACTTTTGTAAAGTTTATACAATTGTTGTGAAGTCAATGGGACTGAAGATCTGGCATTTTGATTTTTTTTTAATTTCTTAAACTTGTTTATGGAAAACGAATCTTCAGAACATTGTAATATTTATAGGTCTTAGAATTACTCAAATTAAATAAATATTAAACTTCAACATTTAATTGATTTGATTGTACAGCGTTTCTTTAAAACTGATTGTCATGTTGTTGTACCCAAACAAAGCATATTTTTAACGCATCTAAACAGATTTCTTATTATAAATCTGGAAATTACCCGTTAAAGCTCTTGCAAAATCAAGGAATTCTATTTAGCCAAATGAGTAGACACTCTGTAATTAAAGAAAGACGAATAAACGTCCAAAAGCTCTCTAGAAGCAACACATTTTCGAATTATTCTAAAATTAGAACAACATGTAGGCATCGATTGGACTATCTGAGCCTACAGAAGAATGATCAATCTTAAAATAAATTTATGCTAAAAAAGTTGAAAATAGTGACTGATAACAATAAAAAGTAGCGGAGCCGGTGGTGTAGTTTTTTTTTTTTCTTCTTTATTTTTGTGATTTTTAGCCGTAGGCTAGTTCATCACATTTGATAATCGAGGGTCAGGCTTAGGGCCTGCCTCGAAAGAAAGCGTTTCAGTCTATCATTACATAACGTACAACTGGCTCTGATTACCCACCAAAAGGGACAGACAACATTTTAAAAAACTTAATGTAAAGTGGGAGTTACAACGGGACTGTGGTGAGGAATGGATGCGCGAACAAGGTAGAGCTCCACCGTAAGAGACAGTGCCCCAGTCCGGCAGAGATACCCCGACGGCAGGAAAATAGGAAGGTGAAAGAACACGGACAGCGCAGCCCACGACGAGAGGGCTAGATTTGGTTGTATAGGTGAGCGTCCTTCAAGAATGCAATCAGCGCAGTCAACGTCGAGGGGTCGTTGCCAAGTAGCTCCCTGATGCTCTCTGGGAGTCGGTGTTGTTCGCGTAGCCTCTGAAACTCTGGGCAGACACACAGCACGTGTTCCACCGAGGCAGGGATGCTGCAGATTGGACAAACCTTGTGGAAGGGTGTCCCACCAAAATTGTGGGAAATCCTCGCATGGCCGGTCCGGAGTCTTGAGATAATCCGCTGGTCTTTGTACTTGTGGCTGTCTTGCCAAGGTCGTACGGTTTCTTTGATTTTTCTCAGGAGGGTGGTGCGTGACTGAAACCATTCCTCCTGCCAGGCTTCCATGATGATAATCGCAATCCAACGCCTGACGTCTAGGAGTGGTACGTTCCTGGTGAAGCGGGGTCCGGATGGACCAGATCCCGCCAGCCTGTCCGCTGCCTCGTTTCCAGGAACACCGCAGTGCCCGGGAATCCACGTAAAAACGGTGCCGGTGGTGTAGTAGTCTCATAGCCACCCAGATCCATGTTTATGTCACTACCCTAAAATCTATCGTATATCACAGTTCCAAGTGTTTTCGGAAAAACGCGGAGTTGTAAGATCAGTTTCATGGATAAACCACTTTTACGGATGCTCCGGATCTTCCCATGGCCATCTGGGTCCGTGTCTATGTCTCGACCCCAAATTATTTCTTATATCACAGATCCTAATGTTTAAAAAAAACTGCGAAGCTCTAGGACCAGTTTCGTGGATTGACCACTTTTACGGATGTTCCGGATCTTCCGGATGTCTGTTCCGTTGTCTCCTAAATCCATATATAGGAACCATGACTGTATTCTGGCTAATTATGAACATTTGTTCCCATTAATCTAAATTATAGATGTTAAGCCACTTGCAAAACCCATAAACACACTTTTAAAAATAACGTGTAAGCATTCGTTTCGCGTAGACGACCCTATTTTCAATATGTTTAAATTCAAAATAATCTTCAGGCCCTAGGAATTCTAGAGGTAGGGGAATTTACGTATTCTCGGCAACCTAAGCAGCGACCTTCTTTCTATAGCCTTTTTCTCTAAGGAACGCACACATATGCAGTATTGGTTTGTTTACAATCTTTTGCTGCCAGCTGCTCTAATAATTTCAGTCGAAAGAATTGTCAAAAACTGTTTTGAAACGCTTTTACAAAGCTCCAATCTTCTCTAGTGAGAGCGAGTATTGTCGGCAACCAGTTTTTCTTCGGCAACCGTTCCATTTGAACTGCATGTAAATCTGCTGTTCTATTATCGGCAACTCGAAATCAGCTACAATTTGTAGTGCGTGTGTTGCATTTCAAGAAAACCTTGCTAGATTGCTTTTTCTCAGTGGTAAAAATATAATCAAATTGAAGCTGAAAGCATAAAGAATCGTTTGCATGCATTCAGCGAAGTGTTTTTGTAAGAAAATTCAGTGAAAATAATGTTTCAATTTGGGTTGCCGAAAATAGTCTGGCATGCCGAAGCCGTCATTTCCCCTACCACAATTTTTGAATTTCGTCAAGAAATGGCTAAGCTATGCCATTGCAAACTTGCCGTTACACGTTTTTCGGAGGCATCTTATTTCGGAGTGTTTAAATGGTAAAATGGCAGAGCGGTCAAGTGGACCAGTGGGAATTTTGTTCGGTCTTTTGTGGTATGGCCTTTTTGGTACTTCGGCCTTAGATTATTTCTGTCTTCTGTGATCCGGTCTTTTGTGATTCGACCTTTTGTAGTAATAAATAATAATTTACATATCAGAAATGCTCAGCCTGCGTGAAGGAGCCGATTTAATCATTAATCATTAGTCTATTAGTCTATTAACAACCAATCGTTTGAGGCTTACTGAAGTGTTGGGAGCAACACCGCTGGGCCTACCGATTGCCCCTGGAGAAAAGTGCGATCGAGAGAGTGACGGACCGATTTGACTCATACAGATAGGGAAAATAAAAATTAGGACTGTCAGTCATCGAGATCAAGTTCATCATCATAGTTCAGTTCGAAGGTTTATTAAAATTGTCACAGTTATTTGAAATTCTTAGTTCTAAATTTGTTATTCTAAATGAAAATATAAATAAGGTCTTTTCAACATGAATTAATTAAAACTAAAATAAATACTATTGTACGTACAGCAAACAGATAAAATTCGACGGCTACAGAGGTTAAAATCACGCATAAAAACAAGTAGCACGAGGGAAATTTGTCTACAGGAGGTAAACTATCTGTAAGTGAAAAATTATGTTATTTTCTAATCAGAATTATCTAATAAAAACTATTTGTAGCTTTGATCTGCTCAAAACGAACATGAAGTGTCATATAGGTGATATTTTCCACTAAGGGAGATTATAATATTTGTAACTCTTCACTTTAGTAACGTCAACCTCCATGTCCAGCGGGAGAAATTTATAGACTTTTAGAATATCACTGTAGAATTATTTTGTGAAAATGATCAGATTTCACCGCAGATAAATTATTTTAGAAGGGTTCTGTTTTTCATGATAAAAATTAGAAAAAAAGGAAAAAGGCCGACTTTCCTTTTATCTACCAGTGTAAATAATGCTATATGTATGTACTCACCCGATGTTCCATGGAAGCTGAAAATATAAAATAAAGAAAATAATTAGCTAAATTTACTCAAAAGTAAACAATATGCCAGAGATGGGTCGCACGTTTGTGATTTTTCATCACTTTTTAATATATGTAGAATGCTTACGTTAAATCCAAGTGAATTTTCAGTTAGCCCATTTTAAAATAGGACTATTAATTTCAAAATAGCAGATTTTTAGTGATGTATGTATGTATGTGTGTAAAGGAAACCACTCATTGTTGCAGGCACAACCATTAGACAGTGGACTGTCCACCTCGTACGACTTGATCAAGTACAACACCTGATGGTATTTAATTTACCATTGCACACTGGGCCAGAATTGCAATCTAGCGGAGCAAAATTAATAACTCCGAAACGAAGCATTTCCGCGACTTGGGGTCTTCGGTAAAGTTTTTCATCATAATAATGACCATCTATTGACATAAAAAAATAGTTCAAAACTCTTCCGCAAAGATGGCACCACAATATAACTTCTTTCTCTGACGTTTTGGAGACATTTAAACAATATATTTAAAATAAAATACTCATTTTCATATTTTTCTGTAATTCCATATAACTCGAAAACAGTGGGCTACGGACAAGGTTGCAAAGACTCATTTCAGCTAAAATAATGTTTTTCGGAATAATAAAACCAAAAGATGGTATGATGGCATGTTTTACTTGTAACTTACAAGAAGAGGTTACAAAGTATGCGTTGGAAACATAAAACCTGTAAATTTTGCTTTCTATGAGTCACAATCAGCGATTTGCTGATCGCTGAGTGAGTGAGTGAGTGAGTGAGTGAGTGAGTGAGTGAGTGAGTGAGTGAGTGAGTGAGTGAGTGAGTGAGTGAGTGAGTGAGTGAGTTTGTGAAAAATCGCTGATTGTGACTCTCATGAAGTGAAATAAACAGGTTTAATACGTCAAACACATTCTTTGCAACCTCTTCTTGTATCCTACCAATTCAAAATTTGATCATGGCATCTAATTATTTCATAATTTAGAAAAACATTGTTTTAGCTGAAGTGAGTCTTTGCAACCTTGGCTACGGAGTGTTGACTTCTTCAGAAGATAGTTTATTTTACCAAGTGGTCAAGTCTTCAAACGCCATTTCAATGCAATAAAAAAATAGAAAAAAAATATGCTCCACTAAAATGATGAAATCTCAAAAACACCATAATAAACCTCTCTCAAATTTTGATATTTTGTTTATCAAGTATTTTTTCGCTGAAAATGTCAGGTAGCGATTTTTTGCGCTTTGGGAGATATTTAAGTTCAAAAATTGTTTTTTCAACAATATCTTTAAAATTTGAAGCTTATGTTTTTTTCACAAAAGTTATTTATTTAATGCCTTTGCATAAGAGAAAAATATAACATTATATCGTTGTCAGCGAAAAACCGAAACAGAAATAAAAAAACATATTTTCGTAAAAAATAATCTTTAACTTCATATAACTCTGAACCAGTAGGCTGTGGAAATTTTACGTCTTCAAAAGAGTTGTTTATTTTGTCAAAGTAAACAACTTTGCCGAAGACATCAAGTCTCCAAAACGTCAGAGAAAAAAGTAAGATGGTGGTGTTATCTTTGCGGAAGAGTTTTGAACTATTTGTTCATGTCAATAGATGGTCATTATTATGATGAGAAACTTTACCAAAGACACCAAGTCGCGGAAATGCTTCGTCTCGGAGTTATTAGTTTTGCTCCGCTAGATTGCATTTCTGGCCCAGTGTGGCATTGTATGAAGGGCCAAAAATGGAGGGCGAACCTGTAAGCAGAGACACTTACGCTAAGTCCGCGGGATCAAAGAGAATCTTCTTTCAACAACAAAATCCTACAACCCGGTAATGTACAAGTCATCGCGCTAGGGGATGTCCCAATGAGTGAAGAAGAAGATCCCGCCTTCAATTCACGATCTGTTAACTACATAAATTTGGAAATTCCACTCTCCCCATCCAAATCGCTTCAATCGGTTGGACCGTCCCATACCCAGCATATAATGTGTCATATGATAATGGAATGAATGTTAAGAGAACAATAAAGGAAAGATCTGACCCGATATGTTGCAAAGGAATCCATGACTTCACGGTGATTTCGAAGAGCTCCCATAGATTAGAGGACGATTTATATCCTTCTGCAGATAAAAAAAAAAAAAACTACCGTCTCTGAAAGACTCTCGATAGAACTACACGGTGAACCGGCCTCCCAGGAGGCAATGCAATTCGTAGGTACACTTAAAACCGCTAGTTAAAAAAAAACACAGCCGTTCGAAGAAACGGATCCAATAAACGTCACTCTTGCGAAAGCATACCCGTCGTCATCAAACGGCAAAAAAATAGAAAAAAAGGAATCGGTGGGCAATTTTGTGATACGGAATTTCCACTGAAAATCAACCGGGAATGCACGAATTTCGCCACACCCAACTGCGAAACACGTTAAAAAGCACTTTTGGAACACTTTCGATCGAAAACACTTAAATTTTTTTTTTCAAAAATAGTTGCGAACGAACCAACATCATAAACTGAAATTAAAATTTTCACTCGCGATGAAACAAATTTCTGGTCCGAGAGAAAAAATCAAACAACGCAGATAGCGCCAAATCTTCTGATGCTTGCAAACATGATGAATCATGTTTCCTTTCTCGATTCTAAAACTTCTCGGAAAGCGAGAAAATCTCCACACGTATAACCGTCCGGGAGGCAGAGTGCCAGCGCTGATCAGGCAATTGCAGCCGAAAACTATGAAAACGAACGCACGCACAAAACAGAGAGCAAACTTTAAACACCACCGTATCCGAAGGGGTTCGAAACTGTACTCTGAATTAGCAGATTTTTAGTGATGGGCCCAATCTTAGATCCATAGGCCAACATTAGAGCCATTTCCCTTATAAGCTTATTGCGAGCTCTCAACTAAGTTTTAACATTTGGGCTGTGTTTCATTTGGTGAGTTTTCACTTGGATTCTAAAGATAGAAAATTCTTAAATAAACCTACTATTCTACCAGACTTATTTCTATTTCAGACAAGGAATCAATTTTGGCAAACACCTTTTCGAGAATCACACGATCAACAACAGATAGATTTTTGAACATAATAATTTATTTTCTTAAATTTAAGTGAGGGTTCTCTAAATGGAACACAGCCTTGAGTGTTCGAAAGTGAGTGCAAGGAAGAGCACTAAGCAGCAGCATTTAGCACTCCTGTGGGATACAAGAATAGCAAGGAGTACTGGCCAGTGGAACGCTTCCTGGATTTGGAACTTAGGCACCGGAATGCTGGACGTGGTACGTACTCGATACCTCCACCTCCTTTACTCGATGTGTTCATTTTTGATCATTTTTGAGACTCATCGAGACGGGGGGAGACAAAACAAACATAAACTAATAAAGAGAGACAAAAGACAAATCTAGATAAACATTTCAAAATGTCCTATCTGCATTGATCGATTCTCTTCATCGACTTTCTCTTTCGTCAATAACTCAGCTGCAGAACCTTTCCCTGTTGTATTTGACGTTTTGGACGCTAGATAAGAACCTCCTTTATCAAACTATTTATGTGGTAGAATTAGCGCGAAATCTGTTTACATAGCAGTGGTTATGAAAAGAGATAGTCGATGAAGAGAATCGAACCAAGCAGATAGGACCATTTGAAAAGTTCATCGAGAAATGAATTAAATTCATATAGGGGAAATGGCTCTAATGTTGGCCTATGGATCTAAGATTATGCCCATCGCTAAAAATCTGCTATTTATCAATTTTATCAAGATGAACGCGTCATTGGGACGGTACTAATGGATATTTTTGGTCGCTATTGAAAATTTAGTCGATTGCTGAATTTATGTATGGGCCCAAATTAGAGGCATTTAGGCCGACATTACATCCATTTCCCATACCTGCTAGACATTTGCAGAAACACAAAAATCGACTGCATAAAGCAAAGATCGCGAGTTCCCAACACGTCTCTGATTGGGATAAAGGTTGGGCCTCGAGGGTATTCAATAGTTTTTTTTTTTAAATGTGATGTGATGTGATGTGAATGGAACCCACCATCAGTGCAAGAATTACCAATGTCTGCAGATACTTTACCGGTTGTAAAGTTCTGCCTGATGTTTTAGATGGCCATCTGTAATCACGTGACAAGGGACTGGCACATCCACGGACCCTCGTCCAGTCAACAAATCCTTTGATACCCTATCTCGGGATATTGTTTGACGAAAAGCTCCTATTCCGTTTGTATGTGGAGAAAACCGCCTTGATTAGGTGTCTGTATCCGTTCAAGGGTGAACAAACTGGCTGTTAACAAACAAATTATAGCACCTGCGATCCTCTACGCAGCTCCGATGTGGGAATCATGTGCACAGACTCACAGGAACAAAATCCAGGTCACTCAGAACAGAGTGCTGAGGATGATCCTTGATTGCCCCTTTGACACAAGAATTCCAGACCTCCACCAATAGGCGAACGTTCCAAAATTAGATTTCAAAACTGATGACATTAAGACTAGGTTTGTGCAGAAATGCAATACATCAGAGCATGCTTTGATAAGCAATTTGTATATAGTTGGTTAGGTGTAGATAGTAGTTTTAGGTTAGTTGTAGTTGCAAATAGTAGTTATAAGTAGTCTCTGAAACAGGCCTGATAGGACTAGGAACTGTAATTAATAATAATTGAAATTTCAAAAGAATTAAAGTTCAAAATGCACATCTGTGTAACTTGCTAATTTATAACTGAGTAAACCAAACAAATACAAGAAATAAAGATCATTTAAAGTACAAAAAAAGTGAACGTGATCAGTTGCAATTCCATTAGCTGTGGAGACAGTCGTCACAACTATTATTTTTTTCTTTATTTTTGTGAATTTTAGTCATTGGGTTGTTCTTTACTTTGCAGGAAAAATATCAGAGGTATAAGGCCTGCCTTGAAAAAAAAACGTCACAGTTGGAATTTACAGAGTTTTGGTTGGATGACATTTGAATTTGGGAAACACAGAAGAACAAACTAGGCCATTGACA